GGGGACCGGGGGGCCAGGCAGGGGCTGGGCGGCCCGGCCGTGGGGTGGAGGGGAGCCAGGCGCTGAGAAGCAAGGGGCCGGGTGACCCGCATTCACTTTGAACTTAGAATTAATCATATGCAAACGAGATGTAAAAATAATGTGCCACTCCTCGGTTATTATTCTTGAGTTAGAAACACAGGCGGTTGGGTCCAAGGAACCAATTCAAGACCTCGTTTGACTTAGCTCTGACGGAACTATGGGTCTCTCTGTTGGACCGACCGGAGAAGTTTCTGGCGGGGTGTGATGGCTTCAGCGTCACAGGCTGCCCTGTGTCTCCAGGCGGGCTCTTCCCACCGCTCACCTTCATGACGTGGCCCAGGCCCACCCCAGGCCTGGCACGCGGGAGGCGCGCCGTTCACCTTCTCTGGAAGGTGAATTTGGGCAGCTGCTGTGAAGCCTTCACCCTCTTGCTGGAAGTGCGGAGAAGGGACGCTCGTGAATGTTGCCTCCCTTCCCCAGCAAGATGTGGTCACATGGACAGAACTTAATCTGGAGAGTTTGACAGCCCCAGGGAGGAATTTCAGGTCTAACTCACTGTGCGAATTTGCACGCATTTCTTAGCTTCTCTGTGTCTCAGTTTCCTTATGTTTCAAAGCCTGCCTCCCATGGTGGCTGTATCAATTCAGTAGGATAAAACTTTTTTTTTTTTTCAGTTGGAGTCTCACTCTGTTGCCCAGGCTGAAGTGCAGTGGCACACTCATGGCAACCGCAGCCTCAACCTTCTGGGTTCAGGCCATCCTTTCACCTCAGCCTTCCAAGTAGCTGGAACTACAGGCCTGCGCCACCATGCCCAGTTAATTTTTTTTAGTTGGAGTCTCACTCTGCCACCCAGACTGGAGTTTAGGCGATCCTTCTGTCTCAGCCTTCCAAGTCGCTGGAACTACAAACGCATGCCATCATGCATGCACAGCTAGTTGGTTGTTTTTTTTGGTTTTTTTTTTTTGCAATTTATTGCAGAGACAAGGTGTCACTAAGTTGCCCAGGCTGGTCTTGAACCCCTGAACTAAGGCAATCCTCTCACCCCCGCCTCCCAAAGTGCTGGGATGACAGGCATGAGCCACCATGCCAGGCATAGATATTCCTTTATGGCAACGCAAAATGAACTACCGCCTCCTCTACCAAATAGGGTGCAAAGGAGGGAGACCAAGTCACATTATGATAAGGGACATCCCTGCTTGATTTTTTTTTTTTTGAGTCAGAGTCTCACTGTTGCCCAGGCTGGAGGGCAGCAGCATGCTCACAGCCACCGCAGCCTCGATCTGCTGGGCTCAGTCGCTCGTTCCACCTCAGCCTTCCAAGTAGCTGGAACCAGAGGTGCGCGCCACCATGCTCGGCTAATTTTTTGATTTTTTGTAGAGACGAGGGCTGGCCGTGTTGCACAGGCTGGTCTCGAACCCTTGGGCTCAGGCAGTCCTCTCGCCTCCGCTTCCCAACGTGCTGGGATTACAGGTGTGAAGCACCGCGCCCGACTTCAATAGGATCGAACTTA